CTGCTTTTACAGATCCAGACTAACACGGCTACCCCTCTGATACTTGACACCATGCAAGGGGAGTTTAAGTGCTCGACGCCTTTTTATCAAAAGCCTGATTCCCTACTACAGACTTGTGTCTACACTACAGAGTTTTGTCTACAAAAGTTATGCCGACGTACACCACTTTAATTAAACTGCTGTTGCATGTCCACTCTATGCTCCTTGTGTCGGCAGAGTGCATCCACATTAGCAGCTGTTGCATCGACACAGAGAGCAGTGCACTGTGGGTAGCTATCCCACTGTGCAACTGGCCGCAAGGTGCTTTGGGAAGGGTTTGCAAAGCCTCGTGGGGCAGGTACAGTGTCACGTGATGCAAGTTTCTCAATCCCATTGTTCCATGGGCATCCTAGTAGATTCCTAGCTGCTTTTCAACTGAAGTGTATATGGGGAGGAGGAAGGAAGAGAGTGTGTGACAGGGAGTGTGTGTGTGTGTGTCGGGTGGGGGGAGGGGAGACAGATTGTATCTTGGGGGAGGGTGTACGTGAGAGAGACGGAGTTCGTGCTGGGGGAGAGTGGGTGTGTTGGCATGCTGTCTTTTTAAGTTCAGACTGCAGCCGGAAGCAATCAATCCTGAGGCAGGGGGAGCGGGACACCCCCACACACATCAGCCCCCGCCTCCCATCCTGGCTCAGCACAGCAGTCCCTCCCCTCTTCTGCCCGGGTAGCAGCAGCCTGCCTGCTGCTGTGTTCCTAGTGCAGGGGAGAGCAGGGTTCCAAGTTGCTGTTTGCTGCCAGAGCCGCATGCTCAGCTGTCAGAACTTACTGAAGCTTTGAAAGGGGAGGGGTGCATGCCTGCAGGGCAGCCAAGTTCACAACAGTGAGCAGAGTGGTCACGGCGGGCATTGTGGGATACTGGGGAAGGCCAGTTAAGTTGACATAATGAATGGCAGCGTCTACACTGATGCTTTGTCGCTTTAACTTTGCCACCAAAAGCTTTGTGCCTCTCGTCGAAGTAGTTTTATTTTGTCAGCAAAACAGGAGAGTTTTACCGACAAAAGTAGCATTGTTGTGTGTACACCTCCACAGTTTTGTTGGCAAAAGCTGCCTTTTGTGGACAAAACTGTGTAGTGTAGACAAGGCCTCAATCTTTCTGTACATTAACCCATTGTATTCATGCTAATTGGAACAAAAGCCTTCAGGAGCCGCCTTATATGAGTAAATGGGACTGTGTTCTGCCAGCATGGGTGATATTTACATTTTATTACTCTGTTTGAGCTAAAAGCTTCCATGTAATTGACTAATGTTTTATCGCAGGGTTTCACCTGAAACAAACCCTTTGCACACTAAGAAAACTGCCTGCTGTGCAAGGATGAAATTTGCCCCGTGCGGTGAACCAGCACCAGGGCCCAGTCCCACTTAAACCCTCAAAATAGGCTTTGTCCTGGGCCTCTGCACAGGGCCAACTTTCATGATAACAGAGGGAAGAGTAGAAAAGTTTACAATCTGTGAAATGTTGCTGCTTATTAAATGTGTGTCATAACTACATTGTCTTTTTAACTTTCCCCTGTAACTTATCCTTGTAGATATTGTGATCTCATGTTAGCCACATGCATCATAGGTTTTATTTGACTTCCTCTGAAGCAGGAGATACTGATGGCTGGAGGCAGGAGAGCAGACATGACAGATCGCTGGGCTGATTTGGAATGGCATAGCTTGTGTTTCTATATAATTCTTATATAACTGTCACCTTCTAGGTAACACTCGGCTGCATTTTCTGGTCCTGGTGACAGGCTGTACATCGGTGGGAAAAATCCTGGATGCTGAAGTTTACAAAATCACCGCAACAGATTTCTGTCCCCTCCAGGAAGAAACCAAGGAAGAGGATCGTGTTAATGCCCTTAAGAAAATCCTGAACTCTGGGATGTTCTATTTCTCCTGGCCAAATGCAGGCTCAAACTTTGACCTGACAGTGCGGGCCCAGAAGCAGGGTGATAACAACTATGAATCTGGTAACTCCTTCTTCTGGTTAGTACTTCATGTTATCTCCAAGTCTTTCGTCAAGCCCAGCTTCCCTCTCAATTTCACATAACCCCGAAGAAAAATAAAGCTATAGATTTAAACCTAGATACGTTTTGCTTAACTAACATTTTACTTTACAGGGCATGCGCTCTGGCAGATTCATGGTCAATCAGGGTTTAGCCAATAACATCTAGATTATTTATGTAACCCAGCTGCAAAAGCAAATTTAATAATTGGAGTTTCTGGTTTTTCTAGAAAGAAAAAATATATTTGCTATATTTACTGTATACAGTATAAGTGCAGATAAGCAGTTTACTTCCCAAGGTGTTTTTTTTTTTAAATTATTTGTTTAACAAGCATTCTTAATGTGGTAAAAACCTGTACTTGTGCTCATACATCACTTCTGCTGTATTATGTTGTATTTCCTAATTCTCGTGGGTTTAAAGTCTCTAAATTAACATTGCAGTAATGTACCCTAGTTTTTACATTGCAAATATCTATGTTAATCAATTAATTTGCAACTTACTGTAATCAAACCATTGCACATATGCTAACTCCTCTGATATGTTGATGTGCACTTATTTTATTTACTGAGTAACACAATTTTAAAAACAAAGTAAAAAATATGTCTCACTGCAGCAAAGATTGGTTGAATGGAAAAAAATACATAGAAACAAGGATCCTTCCTATGTGGGCCCGCTGCAGAGGAAGTTCAATTTGTTTGTCCTACCAGTTTTGATAGGGTGCTCCAATCCCCCTCATCCCGTATTGTTTGTTTGTTTGTTTGTTTGTTTATGATAGGAAGTCACATAGGAAGCTAAACTGTAGTGGAAATAAGTAAGAAGTTATATAATGCATGTGAAAAGTAATAATTTGTCAGAATTACACCTAAAGGTGCTGCTAGTGTGAAATACTTCTTGTGGCCGGCAATAGGTAAATATCAATAGCTGAACAGGGTTGTAATAGATGATTAATAGATAAGGCAGAGCAATACAATCTGGTAAATAATCTCTCCAGCTGGGATGTGATTTCACCTGATAAATGGTGTTTAGTTCAGAATAGTGAAATATAAAACCCAGTTTCAACTGTGTTGTGTGTGCCTTCCTCATGGAACAGCTGACACAGCAAACCAGCTGTGTTCCAACAGAATTAAACTGCCAAATTAGAGGTCTATTTTTAATATAGAAATAGTACAATATATACAGTTGTTAAAGGCTTTCTCTTGATAGTTTGCTCTCAGAAGATACATATTTGAATTCAATGGCACATCTGCTTTCTGTATCAATCTATTGTGTCTTGCTAGATCAGTCTTCGTTTATGTGGAAGCCCTATGCTTTTATATATTGTCTGACATAAGATCCCTTGTATTTCTAAAATGAATATGTGAAACATTATATATAATATGAAAATTTAAAAAACCCAAGTTAGGCAACTAGTATGGAAAATTTCATCCCCAATTTCCAAAGTTTGGGAAAAAAATAAAAACAGGTGAAAAAAGGTTCTTATAACAGAAAGTGTCAGGCAACCTTCACTGTAGGCAGTGCTAGCTGTGGACCATATAACATGAACTGCAATAAATAAATCCCACTGGCGTTTGCCTTGGATAAGGATAGCTTGGTGGTTTGAGCATTGGCCTGCTAAACCCAGGGTTGTGAGTTCTATCCTTGCGGGGGGGTGGCATTTAGGGATCTGGGGCAAAATCAGTACTTGGTCCTGCTAGTGAAGGCAGGGGGCTGGACTCAATGACCTTTCAAGGTCCCTTCCAGTTCTATGAGATAGGTATATCTCCAAGATGGGTAGATTTTCTTTTTATGTGGAAGGAAGGAGGAAAATGTAATTCTTTTTTAGCTGGTTTTTAACTATGTTATATAAAAATAGTAGAACAATTCTTCGCCTTTTTCAAATGCTTTGCTCTGTGAAGCACAAATCTTTAGTAGGATTCCACTGGTATAGTAACTGTAATAGGGAATTGCTGATAACTGATGGAAGTACATTGGAGAGACTATGCATGCCTCTTAGACCTGGTCACAGACTGGCTTGCTTAATAAAAATAACATAAAGATAATACTTCCATTGTAAACCATGCAAAACTCAGTTTGTAACATTTCCTTTCACTTTTAGGCCTGTTCTATGCTGGGAAAACTTCCCCCAAAATTCCAACAGGTTTTAAAAAGTTCTGCTAAACCAATTTTAAAGCCTGTTGGAACTATAGTGTAGACCAGGTTCCAGGCAGCACTGCCTGAAAGTGTTAGTTGGACAACACTGTAATTTAGGTAAGAACCTTTTAATGTTGTTGTATGTTGAAGTATGTTGGCTGTCACACTGTTAAAATCTCTCAGTTTCTGTGAATTATGGCCTTCACCAGGATTGTCATCTATTAATTATTAGTTTCAGATAAAGTGAGGTAGAATGAAAAAGGAATAACCTCCTATTATAAGCTTTAATTAGTGAACAGTGTGGAGTGCAACTTGTTTCTCTCTCTCTCATTTTTTGAGTAAATGAATCTATGCTCTGTTGAATCTTGCAGGAACCAATTGCTGCATGTGCCCTTTAAACACAATCAGGTGAACTGCTCCGACTGGCTGCTAAAAGTGATCTGTGGCATAGTGGACATCCACACTCTCTATGCCTCTCACAAGAAGGCGAAAGTCTGCCTCATTTCCCGGATCAGTTGCGAACGAGCTGGGGCCAGATTTCACATACGAGGGGTCAGTGATGATGGACACGTGTCTAATTTTGTTGAGACAGAGCAGGTAAATGACTGAATGGCTCCTATGACCCTAAATAATTCAGTACATCAGTGTATAATTGGGGAATCGTTTACAGCAAGATTCAGAGGAGCTCGGCAAATGCTTTTTGCATGCAATGTTTTAAGATGCTGTTATGCATGAAGTGTCTCTTCACTCTTGCTCATTAAGCTCCTACGCAATCAGTTCTCCTTCTGTACCTCTAGCTTCTTGGGCAATCATAATTTATGTTTTTGATTTATTTCCCGCCGTGGAAGTTCTAGCTCCCCAGGCTTCTGTCAAATTATAAATGTGCATTTTTCAGTGGATTCAGAAATTCCTGTCTTGAGCAACAATGACTCATGCGCAAAATCAACTCATAAACCAGCGTTTCTCAAACTGGGGTCCGTGGACCCCTGGGGGTCCACAAGGGTACTCCAGGGGGTCTGCCGGCACCGCTGATCAACTCTTCCCCCTCCCTTCCAGTGCCTCCTGCACGCTGGGGAACAGCTGTTCAGCAGCATGCAGAAGGCGTTGGGGGGTGGTGGGGAGGAGCAGGGATGGGTCGTGCTCAGGGGAGGGGGCGGAATCATGTCCGGGGCCGCTGGCCCCGCTGATCCACTCCTCCCCCTCTGTCCCTCAACTCCTCCCCCTCCCTTCCAGTGCCTCCTGCACGCTGGGGAACTTCTGTTCAGCGGCATGCAGGAGGCGCTGGGACGGAGGGGAGGAGCGGAGACTGGGGATGGGGCCTTGGGGGAAGGGGTGGAGTGGGGGCAGGATCTGGGGCTGAGCGGAGGGCTTGGGGGTCCACAAAGTTTTTAAAATAAAAATGAGGGTCCTCGGGTTGCTAAAGTTTGAGAACCGCTGACATAAACCACAAGGTTCTCAATGGCACCAAGCATTTAATCAATCAAGAGGCCAGTGCATCATCCCAAGAGGAAAGTTTTAAAAATACAGTTATTAGAAAATGACTGGGAATTTTGCTCTGAAAATAAAATCTTTTTTTTAAAGTACTTTTCTTCTAAAGTACAACTGATTCCCCATGCAAGAGAAGGTGGGAGAAAAGCTAGAGTGACCAGATAGCAAATGTGAAAAATCAGGACAGGGGTTGAGGGGTAATAGGCACCTATATAAGAAAAAGCCCCAAATATTGGGACTGTCCCTATAAAATTGGGACATCTGGTCATCCTAAGAAAAGCAAAAGTTCTTTTGAAAGTTCTAGTAACTTTATTCCAGACTTTTTTTTTTTTTTTAAAGTCTGTTTTGTTAGGTCTAGACTACACTAGAAAAGGTTTTCTGGTACAGACACAGCTTCTACTGGCAAAAATATGTTGTAACCACTACAGCTTACACTAGTTCACGAAACGAAATCAGCTGTGCCAGCAAAAGAATCCCCCCGCCCCCCAGTGTAACTGTGCCTATACTAGGGCTTTTGCTGACATAAAAATAACATCCCTAGCCAACATTATTATACCTGCAAACATTTCTACTGTGGACCTGGCCTTAATCTCCTTAGCCTTCTTCCTGGGAGGAAGGGGGTCTTGTGGTGAAGACACAAGACTTCCTTTGTGACCCTAAGCAGGTCACTTAGCCGTGGATCCTGCAAGCACTTATGTGCATAAGTAGTCCCTTGACAACATGTGTGCACATGGTTAATTTATGGATAAGTGTTTTCAGGGTTAGCATCATAATTTTTTGTCACAATTTTTCCATCTGTAAAAAAGGGATAATAACAACTTCCTACCCCTCAGGACTTTTGCAAGGCTAAAGTAATACAATGTCAGCATTCAGATACCATAATAATCTCCACAGTATAATGAGGGAAAGATTCTGGAGCTTTGAAATGCAATGCACAAGTCAGGAGGAAGGTGCATGACAAAGAAACCAGAAAATGGGTGAGAAATTAAAAAGTTCCTCTAGCCAACTAAGTAGAGCAAAGAGGACAAAGAGAGAAGCTATCATCTGGTCAGTGGCCAGGAGGCAAATTCCACTACATCTCCATTGGTATAGAGTTGGCTTTGCATATCGGGTGTGGTTTGATAAGAGGGGATAAGGCAGGACTTTATACTTCAGGTTTGCCCAGCAGAAAGGTGGAAACCCTAGTTCCAACTGACGTTGATAACAAACACAAGGGTGAAATGTGTTAATTTGATCTGGGTCCCTAAATTAAAATGACCAAGCTAAATAATAGAGAGACAAGGTGGGTGAGGTAATCTCTTTTGCTGGACCAACCTATGTTGGTGAAAGAGACAAGCTTTCAAACTTTTCTTCAGGACATGAAGAAGAGCTGCATGTAGTTTGAAAGCTTATCTCTAATATCCTGAGACCAACACAGCTACAACAGCAATGCAAACAAGGAAAATAAGTCATTTGTTTACTGTGTATGGCTGCGTTTGCTACGTTTAAAATAAACAAAAAGCACTGGGCCCTGAAGAACCTGAGACCTCCTATGTCTGCTAAACAGGACCGGCTCTAGGCACCAGCAAACCAAGCACGTGCTTGGGGCAACACAATTCCAGGGGCGGCATTCCGCGAGGTTTTTTTCCTTTTTTCTTTTCTTTTTTTTTTTTTGCTTCGGCAGTTGCGTTCTTGGAGGTTTTTGTTGTTGTTGCTTGGGGCGGCAAAAAACCTAGAGCTGGCCCTGCTGCTGAAATGAGCACTTTCGTATTCAGCTGTAGCCTCTCTTTCCTTTTTGGAAAAGGTATAGAAGCTACTCCCAGCCAAAAGAACGACCGTTTTAACCAAATGCAGATTTTAATGTTCATGAAGAGGTGCATGTGTATGGGAGATCAGAGATAAATGAGAAGGCCATAATTTCCAGCGTACAAAACATCACCCCTAAACTTGGTCAACAGTTTTTAACGTTTTCAGGAGCAAATGTACAAAACTCTGCCCTCAAAGCCTGAGAATCTATTTTCTGAAGAGTGGAATTTTGGTGCCTAGTCCATTGGAAAACATTTCTGTTGTGGTGCACAGATTTGTGCACCTGTAGGTGAAATTTACCCCGGGCAGAGGGAAAAGAGAAAGATGTCACTATGTTCACCTTCTGAAGCAATATATAATCCCCGTAGACCATACCAAGTATAGTATAGTACTTTCTCACCAAAATACATGTGGGATGCTTTGATCTTCTTATAAAGGAAGGAAAGTTAGATGTTGAGATGGGTAGCCAACCTTTCTTTGGTCAGCCCCAAATTCGCAGTTCTACCTCCTAGGTTCAGTTGCTAGTTCTGTATACAATTACTATTTCTCAGTATGCCAGCCATTTGGGTCCAAGGTTCCTTAGCTTATTTGCTCTTACATGCTGGAAATGATTAACACAAAAATATAATGCCCATTGCATCACAGAAAAAATGGGGTTCAGCCCCTGATGGAATGGCAAAATGTTGACAGTTGCTGACAGTTGAATGGGACAGGGGTTCGTCAGGAGCAGTGCAGCCTGATGTACTTCTCTTCCAATTCAGCAAGTAGCCATCTAAAAGTGGGAAGACTAAAGGTTTTTGAGTGATTCGGAACTGGAAAAGGCAAAGCCAAAGCAGGGAGGAAATGAGTACAGGGTGACTGAATCAATATGGCTCCAGGACTTGGAAGATCAATAACTATAGGAGTGCTCTGCTGTTTTTTAAAAAGATAAAAGTTCACCTTGCCATTGGTAATCGGTATAATTTTTGCCAGGCTAACTGTCCTAAGAAAATAAAGTGGGAGCTAACCATTAAGATACATGAGGTCCAGTTCAAGCTGGCATCCACTTACTGTTAGGAAGTAAAAGCCCTAAATTAAACTCTCTTCTGCTTTCATAGTAGACTACTGACTAATCGGCTATGAGGTAATATCTTGGCCGTCTGTAATTAGAATAACATTTTGTTTCCATTTGCAGCAGCCTGTACAGTGCTGGCATGCTGGCTCTGTGCTTCATGAATAAATATCACCCTAGGATTCTGAAAAGGCAGGACTCTCTCCCCCTTTACAAAGCTTTAATTCTAATATTTTTCTGTTTTAAGAAGAAGAAGAAACAATTAGCCTTCTCTCTAGGCAGCTCTTTTATGCATAGATGGGATTCTTTTGTCTCCCACTGAGTTAGCCTTGTGGCATTTCAGCTCTGCAATGAGTCATTTTTTTGTGGGCTCACTTAACTGCTGTGACTCACTGTGCAGAAAAGGAGTGGGGGAGCTAAATATCTCACTTTAGCTTTTTCTTTTCAAAATCAGGCCACCAGTCAATCTTTTAGTTACTTGGTCATTTAGTTTAATCACTTTACAAGAAAGATAAAATCAGTCAGAAAGGCTGACACAACAGAAGTAGAGGTTGAGGGGCATTGTGAAAAAGCCTTCTGAAAGTGTGCACTTGAACAACTGTAGCCAGTATTTTGTAAAATAAGGGGTACCTCTTCCTACTCACAGTGCTGTAAATAATCTTTTGAGAAGGGTTTGAAATGATGCTTTGTTCCTCAGAAGGGGCCTAAATAACATGTTTTTGCTTTGTTCCCAATGTTTCATATATCAAGGAAAAAAGTAAGACATTTGTCTGATGGATTTCTACTGAGAACAAAAGTTAACTTGGTCCAACCTTCCCCCCCAACCCCCTGTAGTTCGGAGACTCCACCACATTCCTTTCCTTTCTCCAGATAGTACCGAAGAAACAAGTATGCTTTCCTTATTTAGTTTATGTGCTTGTCATTGTTAACATTTCAGCTTTCTCCTCCTTCCCTGCATTTGTCCTCCAGGGAACCGTCAGCTCTTTTTTTCCCCAGTATTAAATTCTTGGTGTACGATTTTGGCTGTTTTTAAGCAAAAAGAATTCTCAAAAAGATGAATTAGTGGGGGGGTTTGTCCCCCTCCCCTCCCCCCCATACAGTAGAACCTCAGAGTTACAAACACCTAGGGAATGGAGGTTGTTCGTAACTCTGAAATGTTCGTAACCCCGAACAAAACGTTATGGTTGTTCTTTCAGAAGTTTACAACTGAACATTGACTTAATACAGCTTTGAAACTTTACTATGCAGAAGGAAAATGCTGCTTTGCCTTTATTTTTTTTTAGTAATTTACGTTTAACAAAGTACTGTACTGTATTTGCCTTTTTTTTTTTTTTTTTGGTCTCTGCTGCCTGATTGTGCACTTCCAGTTCCAAATGGAGGTGTCTGTGGTTGACTGGTCAGTTTGTAACTGTGGTGTTCATAACTCAGGGGGTGGGATAGCTCAATGGTTTGAGCATTGGCCTGCTAAACCCAGGGTTGTGAGTTCAATCCTTGAGGGGGACACTTAGGGATCTGGGGCAAAAATCAGTACTTGGTCCTGCTAGTGAAGGCAGGGGGCTGGACTTGATGACCTTTCAAGGTCCCTTCCAGTTCTATGAGATAGGTATATCTCCATATATATATCTGTTATATGGTGTATTTAAAATTGAAATTTTACAGACCATAAAAGGAAGTAGCATCTTTTTCAATTAACCTTCCCTTCCCTATTTTAAGAAAAATAGTGTTGGACCCCAATTCAGAAAAGCATTGCTGTTTCATGACAGCAATTACAGTACCACTTGATTGCTTCCCTGAATAGGAATGGATTTAAGCACATGCTTACATTCCTTCATGAATTGGGTCCTATTATTTTTTCCAGAAAAATTTTCATCAGGATTTTCTTTTTTGGCATCCAGGTTATCCTCGCCAGTAGCCATTGTGGTCATTGTGGTGTAAGAAGCATTTACGCAATAGATCATAACTATGAGGGGAAGATCTGCTTTTTGAAATCTGTTAAGGCCTTCCCCCAAAAATGGTAGGCCAGATTTAGGCCTCATCTAAGTATGTGGCTTAAAGACAGCAGTGGGCCTGATTCTATAATGGGATCCACATAGGTGGATCCTCATTCCTTCACAGAGCCCTACTGACTTCAACAGCACTCTGCTTGGGCATAGGATTCTGCCTGTGTGCTTGTGTTTACCGAATCAAGGCTGATTTGTTCTAGTCTGTGTGGCAGGGACCGAAGTGGTGTCTAATCGTGTTAGGGAATCATTTTTCTTCTTCTGATCTTTGCCTGTTACAAAGCGGTAAGATGGCAGTTCTGAGACTTTATTGCAAAATTTAGAGAAAACTGCTTTTTTGAATGGCATAGCATGACTTTGAACTCCAAGTTGTCTAGGAGGAGTTAATGTAGGAGCAATTATCTAGGAGGAAGTGCCCTTTTGAATGGCATGGCATGATCTTGATCCTAATCCACCTAGGAATAGATAGTCTAAAACTGTTCATATGTTCATAGATTCCAAGGCCAGAAAGCCCATTGTGATGATCTAGTTCAGGGGTCTCAAACACGCGGCCCACGGGGCTCTTGTGTGTGGCCCACCAAGCTCCCTGCACCCCCCCACCCCACCTCTCACCCTCTGCCTACCCATGGGATTGCCTCCTGACGCTGCGAGCCTCACGCTGCTCTCTGAAGCAGCCGGCAGCATGCCCCTTCGGGCGGGGGGGAGGGGGAAGGAGACAGAGGGCTCTGGCATTGCCTCCTTCCAGGCACCGCCCCCCACAGCTCCCAGTGGCCGGGAACAGGGAACCGCGGCCAATGGGAGCTTCGTGGGAGGTACCTGGAGGAGCGGCAAGAGCAGCACAAGCAGGGAACCCTGAGCCCCTCCTTCTTCCCCAGGGGCTGCAGGGACACGGTTCCAGCTGCTTCCTGGAACGGAGCAGCGCGGAGCCGGGGACCAAGGCAGGCAAGGAGCCTGCCCTGGCCCCAGTGAGCGCCACTGCCATCCCGGAGCCACTCTAGGTAAGCGGCACCAGGCTGGAGCTCACACCCTGAACCCCTCCTGCACCCCCAACTCCCTGCCCTGAGCCCCCTGCCACATCCTGCACCCCTCCTGCACCCCCAACTCCCTGCCCTGAGCCCCCTGCCACATCCCGCACCTCAACTCCCTGCCCTGAGCCACCTGCTGCACCCTGCACCCCAACCCCCTGCCGCACCCCTCTTGTACCCCACACACCAACTCCCTGTAGATGTAGATACGTATACATTGTAATCAAGTCACCCCTTAACCTTCCCTTTGCTAAACTAAACAGATTGAGTTTATTTAGTCTGTCATTATAAGGCATGCTGTCTAACCCTTTAATCATTCTTGTGGCTCTTCTCTGTACCCTCTCCAATTTATCAACATCGTTCCTGAATTGTGGGCACCAGAACTGGACACAGTATTCCAGCAGGGGGTGTACCAGTGCCAAATACAGAGGCAAAATGACCTCTCTACTCCTACTCAAGATTCTCCTGTTGACGCATCCAAGGATCACGCTAGCCCTTTTGCCCAGTGTTGCACTAGGAACTCATGCACAGCTGATTATCCACCACAATCCACAGAATTGTACTGTATATGTGATACTGGATGTATATGATCTACTTCTATAAGAGCTTTGTCTATCTATGACATAATGTAGCTTTAACATTTCATTTCAAGTTATGCCGATAATTGACTCATCCCATTTGTCAGCAGGTGACCGTTCTTAAAATCATAAATGAGTCAAGATCCAACTCCAGAATTTCTTACAGATTGTAGGCCAGATTCTGAGCTGGTGTGAGTCAGCATAGCTCTGCCAATGTCAATGGAGCGACACCAGTTTACACCAGCTAAGAATCAGGCCTGCTGTGTCTGACTTTATTTTTTACAGATGATTCGAGGGTTAGAGTTCATTGACTCATTTGATTTTTATGACTGGCCTGCTCACTGAGGAAAAGAAAGAGGCAAGGATGGGGTTACTTACTTCTCATGTTGCAGTCCCGCCACATTACACCAAGTAGTTCCTAGGGCAGAAACAGAAGGAGAACAGCATCAATCTTTGGTTTTTATAGAGCACCTGTCACCATGGTAACTAAGCATTGCACACAATTAAGAGCATTGATTGAAAAACTGTTTTGGACAGGTGTGTTTTACATCATGATCTGAACTCCATCAGGCTAAGCTTGGTTCTGACACTAACGCCTTCTGTGTCCTTGATGAAGTCACTTAACCTCTCTCTCAGTAAAATGGGGATAATAATAGACACGTACCTACTTCCCAAAAGTGTTGCGAGGGTTAATTAGTTAATGTTTGTCAGTGATATATGTAAAAATAATATTTTCACCTGTAAATCTCAAAGCACTTTACAAAAGAGGTAATTTTACAGATGGGGAAGCTGAGGCACAGAGGCTTAAGTGATTTTCCCATGGTCACCCAGCAGGCCGGGGCAGAGCCGGGAATAGAACCCCATTAAAGTCGTGTGGTAACTGGTTTTCCATTGCCTAAACATCTTTCTTATGCAGCCTCTTTCTCCGCACCTGCTGTTCACCCCATTTTGGAACTAGTGCCCAGCTGCTAGCTGATAAGCTAAATGATACAGTGTGACTAAAAAAGAAGGCACCTGGATGAGTTGACTGATACCATTCATCTGCTGGGCTTTGGAAGGCTTATTGTGATATACAAGAAAACTGAGACTTGTATTATATATCGCAAATGGAAAAGGGCCAGGATTCCATTGCTAAGTATAGGCCAGGGCAGTGAAATTGGCTTTACACTGTTGCTCTCTGGTAATACTATGTCTGAACATATATCCTTTTAGACTAGGCTCATTTAAAATATAATACTTTTGGAGGTAGGGTTAGAGGGGAGGATGGGGTACATCCTTTGTGCTTCTAATGTGTTAGCTTTGCTGCAAGATTACTAGCATTGTTAACAGAGATAAATACAAAGGGCGGGAGAGAGTGCTGGCTAGGGAGAAAAGAGGACTGGAAAGATTTTACTATAAACACCCTGGATAAGAAATAGTGCACATAATCTTATTCCCCACATCTCAAAATAGGAGCAGCAAAGCTGAAGGTTTCACATACATTTTATTGGCCACACTGACAAGACAAAATGTGTGGTCAAAGAAAATAGTTAATAGAGCAGCAGATAAGCTTATCCCACACCTGGCATTAACCATCACTAGTCACATGGAATGATGACATCTCCATAGTTAAAATTCTACGAAAGAGAAAGTGGCCTGTCTCAGTCTGTCCACCAGCGTAGCTAGTGCATCTTCAGTGTGAAGGAAATCTCTATCGTACAAGCATCTGTGCCTTAAATTCTCTTTTATTACCAGTGAGTAGCAAATTTAAATCTAGTGAGTTGGCACGAAAGCAAACAAGGCATGATTTTGTTTCCATTTCTGTGAGGTCAGGAATACTGACAGAGCTGTATCAAGATAAACTGAGATCCACCATTCGTCTTTTCTTCAGTATTTGTATCTTAACTTGTGTGGTCTGATTGAGGGGTGACAGAACAGTACTTTTCACTGAAGAGTCTCTTTCCCTTTATGTTGTTGCTGCAGACAATTTATTTGGACGATGACATCTCTTCCTTTGTTCAGATCAGAGGCTCCGTTCCACTGTTTTGGGAGCAACCAGGGCTTCAGGTAAATATAATGAAAAATCAAGTGGCCTATCACTAATGCTACTAAAAGTTGCATAGGATTAGTTTATTAATGGTATTCATTCACTAGGAGACTTGCCCTGTGAAGTCTGAACTCTTTTGACTCTGTTACTATTTGTGGGAAAGTTAGGCTGTTTTTAAAAGGAATAGGCAAATAGCTATTCAGTTATTAGTTTTTGAAGATTAATATTTTAAGTGCTCAGATCACTCCAAAGAAGAGTTAATAATTTATTTACACGGATGTTTCTTTATAATGTTTTTTTACTTCACCCAGAATAACCTTTCCATCTGAAATACCAGTTTGGCATGGTGTCTTAGCCCTCCATAGTATAGGTGGGGGCTCCAGTGCAGGAGCTCTATGATTTTAAAATAAATATAATTGGTATATGGGTGTATTTGATAGATTTCATAGATGCTAAGGCCGGAAGGGACCATGATGATCATCTAGTCTAACCTCCTGCATGCCACAGGCCAGAGAATTTTACCAAGTGTTTCCTGCTTCAACTCCAATAACTTATATAACAATTTGAAAGTTAAAATGTGTTTGTTTATGATTAGTTGTATTATCGTAGCACCTGGGAACCCCAGTCCTAAATCCGCACCCCCACTGTGCTAGGTGCTGCACACAGAACAAAATGACAGTCCCTGCCCCAAAGAGCTTGCCATCTCAGACAAGAGATAGATACAGAAAGACCAATGGGGGAGTGCAAGGAAACAATGAGACCATACTATTCAGCGTGACAGGCAGTGGTCTCAGCAACCCAACAGTTGTGCACAGTTAGATGCTATACACACTTCCCCATAATCTTCAAAATCTCATTTCCAAAATTCTTTTGTTTAGAGTAGCTATGTCATCCAGCATTGAGCGTCAGTATTGTGCAAGAGATGAATGTCATCTAAATACAGTGCAGAATAAAAACAAACACACAAAACACCTCCCTACAAATGACATCGAAACCCTTATTGACGTTTTGGGCCAGAACCTACCTGCAGTCGTCATGCCAAATGCACACCGCCCACACTGCGCTTGGCCATAGAATGTAGCTGTACAAGTCTAATCCTATAACACATTTTCCACATGGGCTGCTTCCTCAAGCAATTGTTTTGTTTTTAAACCCATTTCCACCCAACCATTTATACGGGCCCCACTTTCAATGAGATGTCATTGAATAGCTCAAGCAAGAGGCAGCCTGGTATTTTCACATTGTCAGAATAGAAGGAAACAAATAATTTAAGTTTGTACATAGGTACACACACGCAGATATATAAATGTGTGTGTACATATACTGTATTCTGTACAATGTAATGGCTTTGTAATAAGAATAAGCTTTCTTTTTAATATTCTATAATAATAAATGTCTTTGAGATTGATTTAAATGCCTCAGGTTTGCCTTGGATATGAATTATGACAGTCATATATTGCTTTGTATATTCTAAAGCCTGGAGATTATCCCTGAATTTAGTGCTTATGGCCTTTTTTAATTGGACAGAATTTTTTCCTCTCCAAGAAGGAAATGGCACACATTTGTGCTTATTCAGGGCTAGATTGTGCAACCTTTACTCGCATTTGTGAGCACTTACTCATCGGAGCACTCATTCACTCCTTGTGTACGTGTGCTGGCACCAAAGTGAGGAAGGGTTGCAGAGTCTAGCCCTTACGTAGAAAGAAATACAGATTAAATGCTGACAAACAGGAAACCAAACAAGATTTTTGAAAATTCTGAGTGGGTCTTTTAGAGGATTCAGATATTCATTGGGAAAAAATACAATATATTCAGCTACACTGAATAGAAATACCAATACTTATAAAAAATTTGAACCTACTGCTATTAACGTCAGTGTTAAAACTCCCACTGACTTAAGTGATACAGGATTTAGTCCATAATCCTTTATATTTAGAAAGCACTGTGCATGTATTATCCAATTAATCTAAAAAACAAAAGCTCAAACTAGTCAGGCCACAGTCTCTCCATAGAATTGGCAGATATGCAGTGCCTCCTGATTACTTACAGGGGTAAGGAGGCTTGGGCACATAGCTGTGGTGCAGTGAGAGGTTTTTGCTAGAGTATTGGCCAGGATAGAGAATTTGTTTGGCCATAAATAAGGGCGTAGGTATTCCATTAACAAATGTGAATTATCATTGTAATTGTAAATGTTGTTTTCTAATAAAAGCCGTAGCTAAGCTTTTTGTACTAAGTGCATTATGTGTAAGGGTGTGTGTAATCTGTTTGGGGTGTCTGGGTGCTAATAAACAGACATTTTCTTTGAGGGAAATAGACATCTAGTGATTCAGGATTTCAGCAGCTTTATGAAGAGAATTACTTCATAATATTTCTTCTACTTTTTTTTTTTAGGTTGGTTCCCATCATCTGAGACTTAACAGAGGCCTGGAAGCGAATGCCCCTGCTTTTGACAGGTAGGCTTCATTAGATTCTGTTAGTAACACATCAGCTAAGCATGTAACCGTGACTCCACAGCTGTACTCCGTCCCAGCAAACCAGAGCTGTTAGAGGAGGAAAGCACTTATTAGATCATCTAGTCCATCGCCCTTGCTCTTGCACAATTATTCCCTACAGTACGGTTTTAGTGCTTTGTCCTTTCTAGTTTTGGTGGAAATTGAATCAAGGTGATCTCAGCCTATTTCTGAAGGAGTTAAGAAATTCTGAATACTGTGCGAAAAGTGCCATGTAACCATTTGAGAGTCAAAAATGATAAATTTACATTTGGAAATAACCTCTCCGTGCCCTTTCTTCCTCTTTTGTGCCAACCAAATAGAAGCTAAATGCAAACCCCTTTGCATTCCGAGTTTATTTTGTTTTTCTATGACTGGAGTTTGTTGCTGCAGAGTAACAGCAGCAACCCATTCTGCTCTCCTCTCTCCCCTCACCCCCTGCCCCGGTGAGATGCTCTCCTGGTAACATTCTTCTGCTCCAACCGAGAGGAATGGATTTAACCCCATAAGACTCTGCAACTCTGCTGAAAGCTATCCAAAATCCATACATTAATGTGGGTCCTCTGAGTGCATGATCATCAAGTGGGGCCAAACACTTTAGCCTGCAGTCCTTTGGGAGCAAATTCATATTGACTTGAGTGGGAGGTTTGTCTGAGAAAGGATTTGGCCTCTGATGAATTGCCACACCCTAGCCTGCCTTCGTCATGTGCTTTTAATTGACAAATCAAATTTTATATTCAAGTTACGTGTCTATTTTAATAGGCCGCAGTATTTTCTTGATTTCACTTATTGCAGCTTTTAGTGGAGATGATTGTTATCGAACACTTTGTAGCACCTCAGTCAGGGATTAGGTTCCTATTATTCTAGACTCGCTACTAAGAAGTGATGGTGGGGTCCCTGTCCCAGGATCTTACTGTTTTCTGGTTCCTGTGGTAGTCTACTCTGGGAAGTCTCTGCCTGCCACTTTCCCTGAACTGCCTGCACATTGGAGGGTTTCACTCAGCAGAAAGGGAACCCACATAAGGTAATGATGAGGATGCATAATTCCCATGAGGTTGAGGGGAAACTGTGCTGCAGATCATGACCCCACTGCCCCATCTAACCCCACACCCTGTTCTCCCAACCCTAGAGCAACCATGGAGGATATGTGAACACTGCAGCATGGCGTGAGCCTCCCAACCCAGGTAGAAGACTCGTGCTAGTGGGGCTCAAGCAGTATGCTAAAAATAGCAGTGTGGATGTTGTGACTTCAGCAGAAACTCAGGCTAACAACCTGAGCCCAGGCCTAAGGGATCAGGTGGGCTTGAGAGCCTGAGCTGCCGCCCAAGCCGCACTGTCCCCACTGTGTTTTTTAGCGCACTAGCTCAAGCTGAGCTAGCGCAAGTCTGTCTACTTGGGCTGGGAGGCTCACTCCTGGCTACAGTGTAGACATACCCCTGAGTGGCTTCCTCATGGTAGAGTGAAGTGGGAGAATGGCTTGGATCTAGTCCCTCTCTTGTGTACATCACAGCCCAGTTGCCAGATCAGAATTGCACGAGACAGTTCAGCCCAAACTAAATTTTTAAAGGATTGTGTTAAGAGCGTTTCTGGTAAGGGGCAATTGAACATTCATACAGAAAAATTCACTGAAGCTTGTAAAGTCACTGCAACCTTTTCATGTGTTTGGGCACGGCCACAGTCTGTTAATTTTTCACAGCTCGCACCTTGACATCTTGAAAAGACATTGGGAGCAGTGAGTGCAAATTTCCTGCTCCTGATAAATCCCAAGACAGGGCTCACAGGAAAGGTTTTGGATGCTCCTTTTTATTTGTTTGTTTTTAAAACATCCTACGTCCTTTTGTTTTAAGGGGACGTTAGGGCACTTTGGTGTAATTATCAAGCTCACAATAGGGGCACTTTGATGCCCTTTATCACAAATTTGAAGGGGAAAAAATGAAGTCACATTCTTAGTCCATAAATAGGCTCCGATGCTGCAATTGGAGCTGTGCTGAGACCCACTGAATTCAAAGGGGCTGTCTGTGTGGAGCAAGGTTCTGCCTGCACAGACCCAAGTGCAGGATCGGGGTTGTAAGATAGCACCAGGGTGATATATCTTTGGCTGTTTCTCTTGCAGGAAAGCCTGCCAATTTTTTTTGTCTCTTACAGAGCACATTATTTCTTGTTAATGGGACTCACAAATGCAGCCTATGACTTGTACTTGCCAGTTATAGAGACAGTAACCTTTTAACAACAGTATCACCAGGCCATGCAAACACTAGCAGCACAAGCAAACTTTTCATTAGTGCTGTGTTAGCTTACGTTTAATACCTGGCCTTTGCTTGCATAACTCCTATAATAAACACACACATACACCCAACCACATACATATGTGTGTTGAGGGGAAAATTTATGCCCATGTATCTACCTAAAATCTGACTCTTAATCACCAACCTGCCTGCTAAAAACATACAAGTGGACTGTGAATAGTTTTACAAACCTGAATTATGTAGCAGCTCAGAAATATTTGATCAGTGTGGCTGATGACATTTATCTGGCAATGACTCATTTGCTGACTTGGGGTCTGGAATCCCAGACTATAGCTGACTCTGTAAGGGCTCGTCTACACTTATCGGGAGATCGACGAGCGGCGATCGATGCATCAACGGTCGATTTAGTGGGTCTAGACCTGCTAAATCAACCGCAGCTCACTCTCCCATCGACTCCTGATCGAGAAGAGTAGCGGGAGTTGACGGGAGAGCGTCTCACGTCGACATCGCGTAGTGTGGATCCCGCGGTAAGTAGATTTAAGCTATGTTGATTTGAGTTACGCTATTCGCGTAACTCAAATTGCGTAGCCTAGATCGAATTTCCCCTGTAGTGTAGACAAGGCCTAAGGGTTCAGTCCTGCAAGATGCGATTCCTGGAGGTGCTTAGTCCTCTCAACTCCCATTGGCTTTGCTCAGTCGCTTGCAGTTACAGGGCCATAAAAAGACCACATACATAGGACTGTATGGAAACTAACAATGTAATTGATCATCTAAGCACTGTATCCTTGTCCTACCTCTCCAGTCTTTACACTCAATACAAGTAAAGTATCATTCCAGTTATTAATTCCACAGTTACTGTGATGACAGAAAATGAAGGCCCTATAAAGCAGTTCTTTACTGTAAAAGCTGACTAAAAGGAAACTAATATATATTTGTGGAGCTACTGCTGTTGAAACCTTCAAGCAGCCAGCGACCTCTTCTGTAAGTGTTTTGGAAAGGGTGGCTGGTATGTGATATTTATTAAACCAGATTGTACTGCTGCTGCTACTGTTGCAGGCATATGATGCTTCTGAAAGAGCAATATGGAAAACAAGTGATCGTTAACCTGTTGGGAAGCAGAGGAGGAGAGGAGGTGCTCAACAGAGCGTTCAAGGTAAAAACAACAGCAACTTTTGTTAAATTGCTGAGCATTAGAGTCCTGCTTCTTCAAGAGGGAAAATTACTTGAGATCAGCCTCGGGGTACCTGATCTAAAGAAGTTAGGCAGTTCAATTTCTTGGACTATCTTGCATCTTTCTCTTTGTGTGTAATATTTCCTGAATGGAATATCAGGGTGTCTTCTTCCTTACTTCCTCAAATTGTATTCACTTCTTCTTTAACTAGCCTCTCAAAAGAATTAGGGTAAATATTCAAAAGCACCTAAACCCCATTTCAAAAGTGATGTAGTCACTTAGGGCCTGATTTTTAATGGTATTTAGGCACTTAAAATTAAAATTAATAGGGTTAGTACTTAGCCACCTAAGTCCCAGAGTCAGCTCATATGTGCTCTCAGTTTCCCTATCTGTAAAATGGAAATAATGATTCTTTATTCCCCTTTATAAAGTACTTTGAGATCTATAATTAAGAGCTGAATATAGCTACTCTAAAATTACAGTCTTCTGGCAAATGTCAAGATAGAACTACAGAAATCTAAAACTGACATCCCTGGTGAATTCTTACACTGATTATTTTAGGTAGTGCCTATGCAGTATCCACATTCTTGAAGATATTATCCTCACCATGTATAGAATCAAAGAACTGTAAGGGACCTGGAGAGGTCATCTAGTTCAGTCCCCTGCACTCATGGCAGGACTAAGTATTATCTTATTAACAGTTTATGGGTGCAAAAATAATGTCTTCTGTATTTTATATGAGATCTGTCTTTCTCTAGACAAGTTCTTTTCAGTTGTCTACATTGTTTGTTATGATCCTATAACAAGAAATTGGTTACTAAATCAGAATTTAGGGCATCTGTCATATAAAGACTGTGTGTATTTGTTCATTTGTTTTAAATAAAGGCCTGGCTTGATTTCCATTTTTTTAACTGTATGCCAGACTAACAGAATTGTAAGTGAATTATTGTGAAGGTGAAAGGATCTGCATTGACAGCACTGGACACTGAAATCCTGTATTTATCCAAAACAGAGATCCCTCGGAGATCTTCATTACATTTGTTTCTTCATAAATAAATGGTTAGGAGGGATGTGCTGTCAGTGTTTAACTTGGTGCATTTCAAAATGCAAATTAAAAATTATGGGCAGTATAAGTAATGGGACCCTCATTCCCCTTTTGTCATAAGCTTATCTTCTTGCTTCTCAAACTTCCCCTATCCACTTTAATTTCCCATGTTCCTTCCTTCCCTTCCCTTCCCTTTCATTTCTTCCCTCAGTCTTAAAGTTTCATTTAAATCAGTTTAAAATATGTTCATTGCATTTGCTGGTAGTTTCCTATAATTGGAGTAGGATGGTCACCAATATCATTAGTATATGCAGAAAAATCTTTTTTTTTTTCTCTTCTCTTTTTTTTTTTTTTTTTTAATTCAGAACCATGCCTCTGAATTTCCACCGTTACCTGGTAGTGGAAGATGAAATTCAGTATTGTTCCTGGTGATGCTGTTCATTTTGCAAGCATTTCTTAACCACTATAACAGACTGCAATTATGTTTGTACTAAGAACAAAGCTACAGTGTAGGGGGTGTAATACTTTTGACAATGATTTGCACTGAGGTAGTAGTGAGATATCATTCCCAAAAATACTACCAGTGCAGTCAAATGTAAACTGAAATGTGGACAGTTACCAGAGAAACAGATGTGTGTTTGACTCTGATACAATGAAATACATCCCTTCACTAAACTACATACAATACCTTTGTCTTCATCTATGCAGGGAAGTTTTACTGGTTATACTGCTATAGTTATAGCCCTGTGGAGACACTCTTAGTTTGGTATGAGTGGTTTTTTGTTTTTTTTTCAGTTTATCTTAAATCCTTTCTCAAGCAACATAAGCTAAATGGAAAAAAGGCACTCGTAAACTGGAATAAGAGTGTCCATGCTGGGGATAGACAAGGCCATAAAAATTCAAAGTTAAAGCTGTTCTCACTAGTTTATGGGTTTGCGATAGAATGCTGAATAGTGCATGATATATGTTAATAAAATATAAGATGATCGTACATACATCATGTGCAGCCATGTGAGGAATGAGGAAAGTGTCATGCTTTATCTTCATCACTACATTATTTCATTGTATGCTTTTGGTTTATAACTTCTTAATTTTTTTCGCTCTAAAAGCTAGACTGTTGAGGCCATATAGGTACTTATGTGCACAGTTGCTTGTGTTACACACTCATAACCAGCTTACACTTATAGTTTACAGCTCCAACTTAGGTTCCCACATAGGAAAATTTGGCCCTAACAGTCCAATTTACTCTTGGAAAGAAAAAAACAAGGAACTTGCATTAGAAAAGCGTACAACAAAATAACGTACTTCCCTCTAGACTTCTCTACATTAAAGCCATAATTAAAGTTTATCAACAGTATAAAGCATGCGGGTATTGATACCTGGGCTGTAGAAGTAAGTAGAATTCACTTTCCTTCTTCCCTTTTCAAACAGAAATTGCTGTGGGCCTCTTCCCATGCTGCAGACACACCCATGATTAATTTTGACTACCATCAACTTGCAAAAGGTGGGAAAATAGAGAAGCTGGAGAATTTGTTGAGGCCTCAGTTAAAGTTGCACTGGGATGAATTTGGCATCTTCACAAAGGGCAAGAATGTACCTGCACGGTGAGTGTCCCTGCCCCTTTATCACTTTCCATACACAAATCATGCCATCTACTGAACCGAGTTCATCACTTTGTTTGGAGACGGCTGTAGCTTTCTGTGTTACAGTATTTATGTTTTAAAAACATGTTGGTTCAAAGTTTCAAGTAGCCTCCATTTGTACACATAGGCTTTGTGCAAACATTTTTCTGTGTCCAGAAAACAGAGGCCATTTGAAAATTTAGACCCCATCCATTTTATTTTACTACTTCTAGTTCTGATTCACAAATTCAATTAACTTTGTGGGGCTCTCTCCCTTGGAATCATGTTAATTAGGTGACACAATACCAGATCCATGTCAGGTTTGCTTTGCCTCATAGAGTATAAATGTCCTGTTCACAGACTTAGTTTAGCTTTTATAAAACTTGTTGAGCTATTGTGGTAGAAAGGGTCCACCTTTCCACTATAGGTCCAACTATAAGTATTTGTAGCAAATGATGCTGAAAATATTGATTTGTTGGCTGTCCTGATAGATTTTGTTAATGGAAGTGCCTGTTGTGTAAAAGAGGATCTGGGAGTGAGCTGATAAATAACATTTAGCCTTCCCATAAATAACCACTATAATTTTAGGAGGAAGGAGAAGGAAACTGTTTTGATAGTACATTGAAAAGAGCAGATATTTCATTGCTTGTTTAACTTCTGTATTGGGACATTTTTTCGTGACCACTAACAACATTTATAGTTATGCAAGATAACAAGTGTAATCAAATATCAGCTTCAGGGTGGAACCTGATTTCCTGGGTTCAGGAAGGAATCCTTCCCTCCCTCCCGCAGTTACAGCACTGTACCAGTCTCTGGATGGTATATAGATTTTTTTTTTTTTTTAAATATTCCTTTCAAGCATCAGATACTGGACACTGGTGTACGATAATGGACTACATGGACCAATGAGTCCATCATATAGAATCATAGAAACCCCAAGTGCTGGGGCAGGACCAAGTAAACCTAGACCATCCCAGACAGGTGTTTGTCCAACCTGTTCTTAAAAACCTCCAAAGGTGGGGATACCAAAACCTCCCTTAGAGGCCTTTTGCAGAGCTTAACAATCCTTATAGTTAGAAAGTTTTCCTAATATGTAACCTAAATCTCCCTTGCTGCAGATTTAGCCCATTACTTCTTGTACTACATTCAGTGGACACGGAGAACAATTGATCACTGGCCTCTTTATAACCGCCCTTAACATATTTGACGACTGTTATCAGGTCCCCTTTCAGTATTCTTTGCTCAAAACTAAACATGCCATTTTTTTTACCTTTTCCTCATACGTCAGGTTTTCAACCTTTTATCATTTTTGTTGCTCTTCTCTGGACTCTCTCCAGTTTGTGCACATCTTTCCTAAACTAGAACGAGACACAATACTCCAGCTGAGCCCTCACCAGTGCTGAATAGAACGAGACAGTTACCTCCCTACAACACTCCTCTTTATACACCCCAGAATGACATTTGCCTTTTTCACAACTGTATCACATTGCTGACTCTCATTCAATTTGTGATCCTCTATAACCCCAGATCCTTTTCAGTAGTACTGCCACGTAGCCAGTTATTTGCCATTTTGTAAGTTGTACATTTGATTTTTTCCTTCCCAAGTGAACTACTTTGAACTTGTCTATATTGAATTTAATCTTGCTGAATTCAGACCAATTCTCTAATTTGTCCGGGTCTTATTGAATTCCAGTCCTGCCCTCCAAAGTGCTTGCAACCCCTCCCAGCTTGATGTCATCCTCAGATTTTATAAGCTTACACTGCCAGTCCATTATTCAAGTCATTAATGAAAATATTGAATAGTACCAGACCCAAGACTGACCCGCCACGGGACCCAACTAGATACGCCCTCTCAGTTTTACAAAAAGAACAGGAGTACTTGTGGCACCTTAGAGACTAAGTACTCCTGTTCTTTTTGCGGATAAGACTAACACGGCTGCTACTCTGAAACCTGTCAGTTTTACAGTGAACCACTGACAACTGCTCTTTGAGTATGGTCTTCCAACCAGTTGTGCATCCACCTTATGGTAACTTCAGCTAAACTGCGTTTCCCTAGTTTGCTTATGAGAATGTCAGGGGGCACGGAATCAAAAGCCTCACTAAAATCAAGATATATCACTTCTCCTGCTTCCTCCCTAACTATTAGGCCTGTAACCCTGGCAAAGAAGGAAATTAGGTTGGTCTGGCATGATTTGTTCTTGACAAATCCGTGATTGCTATTCCTTATAACCCTGTTATCCCCCACATGCTTACAAATTGAGTGTTTAATAATTTATTCCAATATCTTTCCAGGAATTGAAGTTAGGCTGACTGGTCTATAATTCCCCGGGTCCTCTTTGGTCCCCTTTTTAAAGATAGGTACTATGTTTGCCCTTCTTCCAGGCCTCTGGGACCTCATCCCTCCTCCGGGAGTTTCAAAGAGAATTGCTAACAGTTCTGAGATTGCTTTCCCCTGCCAAATTTACCACCAGACCGTAACTAGTTCTCCAGTTTCTTGATCCTGGAAAATTGCTTGTCCATGTTGTCAAGCTGTCTAGAGTAGCTCACAAATATGAATACCAACCTCAGGGCAGACTGTTACAAACCAGGGCACAAACCCCAAACTGGTTGTGTGTTCTATAATTAGATTTCACCAACCAAGTATCAAGTGAGAACTTCTCAAGCACTATAACGGCTTTAACATGGAGTCATAGACAGTCCCCTTGGGTGTTTCAGTCTATCTTGACACATAGGCAAGCTTGTCTTTGTGACAGATAGTCCCTTACACCAAAAACCACAATAATATTCAGGAGTACTTGTGGCACCTTAGAGACTAACAAATTTATTAGAGCATAAGCTTTCGTGGGTTACAGCCCACTTCTTCGGATGCACAGAATGGAACATATATTGAGGAGATATATATACACACATACAGAGTTATACCTTAGTCTGTAAGGTGCCACAAGTACTCCTGTTCTTTTTGCAGATACAGACTAACACGGCTGCTACTCTGAAACCTGTCAAATAATATTCAGTTTACTCCCAGTCCCAGAGGACCAGTCACTTACCCGAGCTCAACTTCACTTCAGATCTCTCAGGAAAGACAACACTTGTAGCTAATCCTATAATCAACTAAAGATTTATTAACTAGGAAAAAGAAATGAGTGTCATTTACAAGGTTAAAGCAGGTAAACACACACACAAATGAGTTACAGTCTTAGGTTCCAAAAGATAATAGAAGCTTCTATAATAAGCAAGCTCTATATGTCCTTTAGGGCTAATCCAAGCTAAACAGCCAGCGATCCCTTTCTTATGCTTAGAAGCCTTGCCCTCTCCCTGATGTCCAAGCAGCATAGGATAACAATTTCTTCTTGACAGGGATTTTTATTCTTCTGCCGGAGCTCAAGCATATCTCCTTTTCATGGAGGAGGAGCAATCAACAAGGTCTTTTGTCCCCTGATGTTCCATAATGGCCTCTCTGGAGAGGAGATGACACCTCTTGTGATAAACAAGCATTTCACACTTAGTAGTGTTTCTCTTCTGACTGTGGGGGTTTTAAAGCAAACACTCTTATAGTTACAGACCAAACAGTTAAATATTACCATGAAACATGGGATACAGATATCTTAAGTGAGGTTAATGCATGCAGCAACTCACAAGCATTTCATAAAGTCTGAACACATTTTTATAAATCTAACACCTGTTTTAGCAATACTAACACACAGGTCAGCCAGACTGGTTTTCAGTGAGGCCTAGGGCCTTGGCATGAGCTGGCACCTGGTCTGCCAGCGTCACACACATAATTGCTGGTGTGGCTTTGTAAGCACAGTTGGGTTCTTGAAATAAATTGAGCAGGCAAATGTTTTGCACCTGCAAAATGTGAGTGGAAAAATCCAGGCTGAGTGTTTGAAAATCCAGTCTTATCTGCCTGTGGATCAAATGCCATTTTTATTGAGTTTCTAACTTAAATGTTTCTGATGATAAAACAAAACAATAGTTTATCAGTAACAACTGGATGTGGAGGTTCCTAATAACCTGCTGTATCTCTCTTTATTCTTTTTTTGGCTATTGAAGTCTGCAGACAGGTACCTTGCGAATGAATTGCCTGGACTGTCTGGATCGTACGAATAGCGTACAGTCCTTCATTGCACTTGAGGTGAGTTCATTAATGGTCTTTCATGAAACTACACACACACTCTGCTTGCATTTTGTGCATTACCAGAAAGGGCAAGAGGGAGGTCTCATAGCTCTGTCTTTCCATCATTAAGATACCTGCATTAGTTTAACTATAGAATGATGGCTGGGTGAAATTCCTACATGAGGTGTGGGGGGGAAATGAAATATGAAAAGTAACTTTTCCTCACCTCTCTTTCTGTGTCCACTCCAGGTTCTGCACACTCAGTTAGAAAGCCTAGGGTTGAACTCGAAGTCTACAGTTGACCGCTTTGTGGAGTCCTACAAGGCAATGTGGACTCTCAATGGTCACAATCTGAGTAGAGTGTTTACAGGCAGTCGTGCCCTGGAGGGGAAAGCCAAGGTAAAGGAGAATATCAGAGCTGCTTATTCATGAGTGACTTTAAAGGAAGTCTATATTATCACTGCGAAGATCACCTGTGTTGAACATTTTTGTCTAATGCAGGTAGGGAAGCTCAAGGATGGAGCCCGCGCTGTGTCACGCACCATTCAGTCAAATTTCTTTGACAGTGTGAAGCAGGAAGCCATCAAGTTGCTACTCATGGGCGATTTCTTCAGCGAGGAACATGCAGACAAAGGAAGGATGCTTATGGACAACACTGCTCTGCTGGGTAAGTCAGATTCTATGATTCTATGAGATGTAAATCTGTCTTCTTTGTCTTGTGTTTGCTTCCAGTTGTGCTAGATGACCAGTTGCATTCTTTTGAAGAGTCTAGAAATAAACAACTGTTGCACAAAGGCATTGATGTATAGGGGCAATGCTTTCAAGTCACCACAGCATGTGCTTGAATTCCATTATTTTTATTTCCCAAAATATTCTATTAGACTTCTGCATAGGTTGTCTCATTCACTGATGATAATCTGTGCTGATGGAAGTTGTTGTCTACTGTTTAGAAGAGTGGATTAGGAATCAGAATTTCTGCGGGAGATTTTCCAGCTTTGTCCCTGACTCACCCTTTGACCATGGGCAATTATCTTGGGACCAGATTTTTTTTACAAACTGGCCCCTCTTTTTGTGCTTGCAATTTGTGGATGCTTTAGGCCATTTAGGTGTCTAAATACCTGACTGCACATGCAAATCAGTTACCTAAACACTGAAATCACCTAATTTGCTCGTGCAAATAGCGGTGGTCAAAAAATTACACTCTTAATTATTTGCACCCACCAAAAAAAAAAAGAGGAAGTCTGATTAAAGCAAGGCTAAAATGGGGACCAGTCAGGAATAATCAAGATGGTGGGGTCTTATGTGGAGTCCTGGCCATATCACAATACAGATCCAAGTTCATGATGGTTTTTCAGAATTAGTGTATAGCATGCACCAAAAAAATCTAATGGGGCTTGGGTTTGGTTCTTAATTTGTGACATCATTTTGTGGGCCACACTGAAAATCCCAAGAAAGACCAGTCTAAAACCGTATTATTCAGTCATTATTAAGGAAAGCATTAGAAAATTCTAATAACATATTTTGAATATATTTTCTTCAAGTTTGTCACTGTGAAAGTCCTGTTTTTCCCGTCCCCTCCACTTACCTCCATGTGTGAATAGTACAACTCATTTCAGTGACTGCACCCAGTTACCAGGAAATAAATTGATGGCATCATTTTCAGTTATGCAATTATTGTTATTTCCACTGGAATTACTTTTTTAGTTATTGCACTGATGCCAGTAAGGTAACTTTCATTATTTCACAGTAAGTCTACATGTCACTGACGTCTGTAGTACCATTCATTCCACTGCAGCAAATTGTCTTTACTTTCTCTCTCCATCAGTGACTCCCAGTATTTTGAAGGCCATGTCAGAGCGTCAGTTTGAATTCACGCACTTCAAGCGGATTCGTGTTGCCATGGGGACCTGGAATGTAAATGGAGGCAAACAATTTAGAAGCAACATCCTTGGCACCAGTGAGTTAACAGACTGGCTGCTGGATTCTCCCAAGCTCTCTGGGGTTTCTGAATTTCAGGGTAAGACTTTGAGTGGTAGTGTATCTGTTTTAAAATAAACATTATTTGTTAGCGTCTAATGGAACTGCAAAGTAGTTTAGGCCCCATATTTGGCCATTCATACATCATCTGGTAGGGAATTCTAAGTGGCTGATTCTGCTCCCACTTGGCCTTATGCTGCACCCCTTCACAAGCCTTGGTGTAGCAGTCCATAGGTGGGGCTGGGAAGGCTGCTCATAAGTTAGAGAAACCCTCAGGGCTGCACTAACTGATGCTGAAGAGTGTTTTGGCCCTTACAGCATCCCAGAATCCAGAGTGTGCGAAGGTGGCATAAAATCACCTTACCCTGAGGTGGCCTTCTGCACTGAATCTCTCACCCTGACAGCACAAAATCTGTCCCTAAATATCAGTTTTTATTCATGCTCCCCCATTTCTCCCCCTGTGTTTCAATCTCATTGGGAGTTAGGTGCCTTAGAAATTCCACTGGGCATCTATCTGCCTCTTTTGACACCTACATATCTTTAAAAATCTGGCCTTTAGGCACCTCTGAAAATGTTACACTTAATCCTTTAGTGTTTATAAAGCACTCCGAGACCCTCAGACAAAAGGAACTGTATACAGTAAGGGTAACCTTTTATTACATTACATTGTTACAAAGCAGGGTCCTTTTTTTAGTAGTGTGTCAAACTGTTGTGTTTGTGGCTTGTTTGAACTGGCAGCTGACTTTCCTGTTCACAAAACAGGGCTTGTGATTGTAACTGATTTACAGATTTTACTAAAGAAAACAACAAAGGTAGTGTTCTGTCCTTCAGAAATGGAGTGGTTCTAAAATTACTGCTTGTCCTTTATTTTCCCTGTTACAGAGTAACACATAATCCTCTGCAGGCATTGCTGAGATATTCCTGTGCATAGCACACAAATATATGAACAAATTCCATGTATCCCTGGCTGTCTCATGTGAGCATTACTTCTCTTGAGCCCATACTACCGTAGTCTCAGAAGGCCCAGGAAGTAGGAGATTAACAACATTATGCTGCATGTGTTCTGTTCATGCACGCTAGACATACTTACTGACAATGAAGTCAGCCACCTCATGCAGTCAGCTGTTTTAATAATCTACATTAACGGATAAATTTTAAAAAATGGGTGTCAAAATTACGCATGTGAAATATGCAGTTACTATTTTTGCATGTGAACTTTTCTGCTTTTCTTATTCTTAATTTGTGAGCAAATCTGATTTAGGCTCCTACAGTTTTCTTCTGTGTAGTCCTACGGGCTGAGTGAAGTTCTTGTTATCTGGTGAATAATAATGAAAACCCTTTAGATGTATGGCAAACCTGGTGAACAAGCAGATGTAGATGTAGCTCTGTGCCGCCACTTGAGAGATCAGTGTCTGATTTTCTGAGTCCTCTCCTAGGGGCATGCTCACACCTGGGTGGGAGGAGAGAGTATCTTACATTGGCCATCAGTGACGCCTCCCCCCCAGCTCCTGTACCAGTTAGTCTAAAGAGCATTATTGACATGATACATTCCTTCATCAATAAGCGGCTACAACCCGTGGTGTAGGTTATTGAAGAAGACAGGGAAGAAAGTTAGGAAGGAACCTCCAAGACTTCCTCAAAGTAGTGGAAAATCTTACTCAGCGGCATGGGGGCAGAGGGGAGGAAGAAACATGCTGGTGTTGGACAGTAGTTGCAGCTAGATAAATTATCTGTGTCAAAAACAGACATCGAGATATTGGACCACATACTGGGTATGAGATTTCAATGTGACTGGATGGAGTGGGGCAAACCATTGTGACTTTTTTAGGTTGTGTACACAGTGGCATCATATCTTAGATCTGGGAAGTGAGGATCTCCCTCTAAACAACATTGCGGAGGTCACAGCTAGAATAAAGTACTTTGTTCTGGGCTCCTTCCTACCAGAAAGATGCAGACAAACCAGAAGGAGAAAAGCAGAAAAATGATAAAGGGAACTGCAAGGGTTGCTTTCTGAAGATAGATTAAAAGAGCTATAATTATATAACTTGGCAGAGAATGCACAAGATTAACTATAGGACTTCTCTTTTTCTAATTTCTGTCAAGAAAGCAAATGATTAAACAAAACAACAAATAAAGTGGTAAAAAGTCTTGCATGACTTTTGTTCCTCTCCCCACAGACGATGAGAGCTGCCCTCCTGACATATTTGCTGTGGGATTTGAAGAGATGGTGGAATTAAATGCAGGGAATATTGTAAATACCAGGTAGGTGAAAACAGAGCTGTGCTTTGCACATTCACCTGCATGTGGTCACTGTGTGTGGGAATGTTTGTCGTTAACAAATGCCTAGGTTACCAGCCCAAATGTGCACTCTCTTGCACTGTCTCATTTTTATACAATGCATATCACTACTTTCTAAGCCAATGCAGGGCACTACTTTAGCGCTGTGCTCCCAGTATCCTTTCTGATGCTGAAATGTTAAACTGCTAAAGTCTCTACACACAACTGAAATATATGTGTGTAATTTTACAATGTGAGCAATATCTCTCTGTACTTAAGTATTTATCTATGTGTATTCATAAAGGTACTGCTAGGATAGGAAGTAGAGGTAAGGAATGAACTCTTCTTGTCCGTGCCTGTGGAAAAAATGTGTTCCTTGACAGGCTGGAGGAGGACTCAGGGGGAAAGGGGCAAAAACAACTGAGGAAGGTAGCATTTCACTACTGATTCTTCTGGCTTAACATTTAGATATCATCTTTAGGAATGGCAAAGCTACAGTAGTGTGTAGCATGGTTGGTGGGCCAGCTATTCATCTGCATGTATCAGTAGATCTTTAGGACAAGAAAAATAAGGTGGTCTACAAGGTAGAATCTATGCAGACATAGCTGCCCAACCATCACTTGAGAGTAGCAGTGCATTCACTATTAAGCATGTGTAGCTGGTCACCTCCTAAGCAGTTAGGGTCCATTTAGCTCTCACCTTACTGCCCTCTGCCTCGTGCTGCAAGAGCAGGTGAAAGAGACATTGCAAAGAAAGAGGCTTCAACATGATTTTTATTATTTCATTTCTGTTCAATTCAGTCAATGTTTTGTTTTTGTTTCAGTACAACTAATAGGAAGATGTGGGGGGAGCAGCTTCAGAAAGCGGTTTCCAGGACTCACCGGTACATTCTGCTGACGTCAGCACAGCTTGTTGGTGTTTGTCTCTTCATCTTTGTACGACCTTATCACGTCCCCTTCATCAGGTACGAGGGTGTCGTGTTTTCACAAATGGTTTCCTGCGGCCTGGGGTTGGGAGCAGGAAAAGCAGGCCTGGATTAATCAATGTGCACTCAGTGCAGTTGAACAGTGCCTCCGTTTCAGGGAAGGCGCTGACTCCAGGGGGTAGAAACTACACACACAGAGAAATCATAGCCCAGGAAGGAGTGGCAGGGGAAGGACTTTGCCAGCATGCTGTGGCAAGAACCAGTGGGATGGAGTGGGGAGCCGGGCCAGCCCTGTGGGACAGGAACTGCTTCTAGCTGAGTGCAGGGTGGGTTCACTCTCTAACAGCCCCTCCAGGGCCCCTCATTCCCTCAGGGCAGAACCTGACTCCCCCACACACACAGATTGTCCCACCCTCTGGGGCAGTACCTGACCCTCATCCCAAGGCTTCCTACCCTGTAGGAGAAGGGAAGGTGGGGGATGCCTAAATGCCATAGTTCACAGGGCCCCAAAGTTCTTCAATCTGGCCCTGAGGTGAAGGCCTGTTTTTTGCTGAGAATTCCTGCTGCCGAAATGTGTTCTTTATTTTGTGTAAGCTCATTAACCCGTACAATTGTAAACACGAGGTTGGGCTAGGGATGGAAATAAAAATTCCGGTTAAAAACAAAATTTCATTGGCTAACAAATATTCTTTCTTTCTTTATTTTAAATAAAATCAATAGAAACGAGCAAGTTAGGACCTCTGTACAGTATTTTACAACATAAGCTGTACTGATGCCAAACTGGGCAAAAGGAGAAGACTCCCATCAGAAATAGACCAAGGAGGAGATATTTTCAAAAGCACAAATTGGAGTCAGGCAACTTGCTCCCTTTGACTTTCACTAGGAATGGGCCATCTAACTGTCCAGGACACCTTTATAAATTTCTCCCTACTTAGCTTCCCTGCACACATCACCAGCACAGACAAAAGCTGGAGAAAAGAAATAGGCCTAATGCAGTTCCTAGAACCAACAGGGGAAGCAAATCCTAGAGGCAAGGTCTCTCCTCTGAGAAGATCGTTCCTTTGATAGAGGAAGGGAGCCTGGGTTCAAGTCTCTACTTTGCCACAGGCTTCCTGTTTCACCTTGGGCAAGTCACTTTCTCTCTGTGACTCAGTTTCTCCTCTGTAGAATAGGGATAATAGCACTGCCCTACCTCACGGAGGCACTGTGAGGACAAATACATTAAAGATTGTGTGATGTTCAGGTGCTGTGGTAATGGGGATTGTATAAGATCCTTAGATAGACTGTCCTGCCATCAGTCCCCAGGATGAAATCCTGGCCCCATTGAAGACAATGGCAAAACTCCCATTGACTTTAGTGGGGCCAAGATTTCACCTCAGATTTTTAACTATAGTAACCATTAAGAGCGCCTTCCCCAGTTGTTCTAGTAGCACAAAGGGAGCGGTGCAGTCTCTGAGGCACCCAGGAACTAAGCCATATGTGGATCCCTACCAACACCTTGACTTGTGCCCTAAAGTAAATAGAAAGCCAATCTAGCCATTGCAGAACTGTCATAATATTCTCCCTGTGGCAAACAGGTAGCTAGATGTACTCTGCACCAGCTGCAGCTTTGGAGTGTTCTTCAAGGGTAGTCTCATGGAGAGAGCACTGTAGTAATACAATCTGGAGTTACAAGGTCCAGATCTGAGATAAAAGGCTGCACATTCACCTGAGGAAAAAAGATGCTTTTGGCCACTGGCGACATCTGAGATCCAGGAGCAATCAGGGCTGCGAAGTACACTTAGATCAAAAAACTCTTGGGCTAGAGAGTGGATAATCTTGCTGGTAATAAGATGAGAAAACTCTCCTACCATATATTTATGCTGCTTCCGCCACCAGCACTCCTTTCTTCTCTAGATTTAGCTTCAGCGAGCTTCGTGTCATTAAGTCTCCCATTTCAACCAAGCACTGGAGAACCATATAGACTACAGCATCTGGGCCTAAATTGACAGAGACAGAGCTGTGTGACCTCTGTGTACAGTAGTGATGACAGTGGAACCCATACCATCTCCCAGTCTACCTCAGCAGATTCACATACACGTTGGGTAGGATGGATAACAGAACAGAGCCTGCATGAAAATGCCTGTGCAGTGGAATGAAGTATGCCTATGGATATGCGGGTGGGAGAGGAGTAATTGGCCAGAACTACCCACTGGCATCTCTCAGAGAAGACTAGAACAATATCCTCCACCCCATGCCAAATGCACTGCTGGGTCACTAAAACCTTCAAGAGTATCAATGCCTGCTGGGCTATCTTACTTTCTCTTTCACTATTCTGATATCCACCAAGAAGGTTTGTGCACGTCGTACCTAGCTCTGCAGTCAGACTAATGGAATCCAGATAACACTAGTGTTCCCTTACTGCAGCCTTCTCCGTTCTAAAGGGAAAAGACTAAATTCCTGATTTATTTTTTTTTAACTAACCTGTCTGATAAAAGTAGTCCAAAGAAGGAGAATACCTTTTACTAGGTGAAATTTGAGTACTCCAGCTTGAATAAAAAGGGATCAATAGCAGAATTACTCAACAGACTGGTTCTATTGCACCTGTCAACCTGTTAGCACTCAGATATAGAGCAGTGGCCCGTTGAAACTCCTGAAAGGTTTTGATTTTAGTAAGTGGCTGAGTTTCATTATTTAATACTAATGGGCTGCTACAGGATATATGGACACAGCCAGTCCTAGCCACGTGATTTTTGTAGTTTAAAAAAAAGAAAAATCCAGAAAAAGACAACAAAAATGATCAGAGGCAGAGAAAGGCTTCTATGCTAAGGGAGATTAAAAGATTAGAACTAGTGTAAACAGGAGATGAATGAAATGGGACATGATTGAAGTATATATCACAATGAATGGGTCAGGGAACTCTGAGGCTCAGGATACTATGAGGTTGTCTCACCACATTTCCTATAACCTTAACCAAGAATGGACGATTAGATTCCAGTTGATAGTTGGATAGGTTGGCAGCATCAATGGATGGCTTCTTAGAGCAGAGACAGAACACGATTCCTTAAAATGGTCAAAACCCTCTCAGAGAAGGTGTTGATGTTCCCCACCAACCAACCCAGGAGCTAGTATTTCCCCACTGGCTTTCACCAGCCAGGAAAGAGAAAGAACCAAAGCATGGGTTGTGGTATGAAATTTCCCCAACACCTCTAGAACCTCCAATAATGTGTGTAACCAAAAGTCAACCAAAGACCTAACATTTGTTCCCTCCAGATATTGCCCTGTATCAATGGACACAAGTATTCCAGTCCAATGCACATGATTTTATGTACAAAGTAACTAAATTTTCTCAATAGGAAGGATTCATGCAGGGCTGGGGCAGTTACAATTATGATCTCACCATTTGCTTATCTGAACAGACAGACGTGCACAGGGCCGGCTCCAGGCACCAAGCACCCAAGCTGGTGCTTGGGGCGGCACCTGGAGGGGGGCGGCGGGGCGGCGCGGGGGGGGGCGGGGGGGGGGGGGGGCCGGGGGGGGGGGGGGGGGGGGCGGCCGGAGGCTTTTTCGCCTGGGGCGGCGAAAAAGCCAGAGCCGGCCCTGGACGTGCATTATTCTCAAAATAGGCTGGCTCTCTGGGAGTAATTATCCTGCTAACAGGTGGTCTGTTTTGCCAAGTCGGTCCCTTTGTAATATAATGTAAAACAATGGTACATTAATTGCTAAGATGTAATTGAAATACCATGTAATTAACAATATGGATGCAACAGGCAATTTATCAAAACTAATGCCATTTCAGTGCTCAGGGTCTGCGTATTTGTTTCTAATAATCAACTAGTTTGACAAATACAGATTTTATAATCTGTATGCTTTGAGATTTGCATTGATACACCTGAGATGTGGCCAACTCTTCACTACAAAAGTTGCATTTCATGGTATGGAAATGCCATTTCAGTTGATAATCAGCTGTCCGGTATTGATTCATATCAGCAGAATGGAAAATAAAAGGGAGTAAAAGGTGACCATTAATTATTGTCACTACTTCAAAGGATTTTTTTTTTTATAAAGACAAACATTAAAAGTAAACCTCATATAAGTTTCAAAAGCTACAGAAATATTTTCATGCAAAGAATGCTGAGTAGTTTGGAAAGGATGCCAAGAGGGGTGGTCCAAGGAGAAAGTTATTTCATTCAATTGTTTTATTACTGTATTATTGTTTTTTTAACTGGTAATCTGAAACATTAGAACATCAATACGGCCAATAGTAATGTTGCAGCAAAAGACCCTAAGAGATCTATTGAACAACATGAATCTCTGCTCATTCACATGTTTAATAATTGGAGGGAAAATAAAAGCATCATTCTAAATAAGATATGTTTTTCCTTTCCACTTTCCAGTAATGATTGATGAATTTTTTCCTCCTCTCTCCCCCCACCCCCAACTTTTTTTTTCGGTCCAGGGAGGTAGCAATAGACACAGTGAAAACAGGGATGGGAGGGAAAGCTGGGAATAAAGGCGCAGTAGGCATCCGTTTCCAGTTCCACAGCACCAGTTTTTGCTTCATATGCAGTCACTTGACAGCTGGTCAGTCTCAAGTGAAAGAGAGGAATGAAGATTATAAAGAGATTACACAGAAACTCAGCTTCCCAATGGTAAGAATGTAAGATGTCTCAGACAAGAAATGTTGTGAATGGGAGTGAAAATTGTATCCTTAAATTTTTAATTGTGAGAGTTGGTAGCAATCTACACCACCTGGCAGGTCAGCACAGGAGGCAATTCAAAGTCATGGAGTATTCACACAAAAGAACTTAATAAAAAAGAAAGTAAGGTTGAAAGCATATTTCCATGGAGACCAGCTAACCCAAAACCAAATGATACTTTCTTTACAAAAATTCTACACCTTTAAAAAACCCAGATGTTAGAATTCCTGAACGTGAACAATGAAGGGATCTAACCAGTTTCCCACCATCATAATGCTTCATCACTCACTATCACACCCACCTGATTCACAGATTGAAAACTTTATGCATTGTGGACCAGATTCTCCAGTTTGCCAAGATTACACATGAAGAACCAGGTGTGGTGGCATCAGAGAGAGAGTAATGGCTCCCTGGTTCTCTGCTCAGACCCAGAACAGATTAGTTCCCCCTGGGGCTGCTCTAACTTGAATTAGTTAGCAAGAATGCCTAAAAGACCATTTTCTATCAGAGCATACCCATACTCCAGCCACTCCTTCTCTTTGATTGTCACATGCCTCAACTCCTCAGTCTCATGCACACAGCTTACATGTCTCCTGCTCTTCTTCAGCCTTTCTCCCTGCACTTCCCCTAGAGTCCCATGTCCCAAGACCAAGGAGCGCACCTTAATTGTTATCTTTATCAGAATGTGGTGCAAACAGACATTCTGAGATCCCTTTCCTCTGTATTTATATCCGATATGATTTCTTTTGGATGGTATTCTGTTGATCTTTCTTTTTAAGGCCAGCAAGTGGCCCTGTAGGGTTTTTGTAGCTGTGTTCCTGTGCTTGCCTTAATGGTGTTGGCCACTTTAGATTTCCACAGCTGCCATTTCTTTCAGACTTCTCCAGAGAGCCTGTAAGCCAGGGAACGAGAGGACCAGTTTGTGATGTGTTCATTTATTCTGTTAAGTCAGCAAAGAATAGCATTTAGGTTGAAGAGCATAAAATTTAACTCCCTGTTGTTTCCAGGGTTGAGGCTTGACACATATAGCATATTAATCAGTTTCCGTTTATGTTAGAAATAGTAGTGCCAGTATTGAAGCCCTGCATAGAATATCCATTCTAAATGGCCATAAAATCATGCATATAGGAGTCCTTGCTTCCAGTAGCTCATTAACTATTTTATATCCTGTACGTTTACTATATTGGTGTAAATATATGTAAATCTCGGCTCTTTATGAGCTAAGATCAAGTGTATATTAACAGTGCCCTCTAGTGATGCTATAGATACAGGTCTGAAGTGTTTCCTTTATGAATCCCTGTGTTTAGAGGTTTATAACTTATTTGAAAAAAGTGCAGTTATTTGTGGCATAACACATGAAGCTTAAACATTGGAGTGAATCTCTGTTAATATTATTATTACTTTACATTTACAGAAATGTGCTATGCAGTTGTTGGGGCAAATTTTCGGCCTGGTCTTGACTGAAGTCTCTATTTTTGCGGGTGCATACGATAGCAAGAGCATTTTGTGGCTGCAGTTTAGATCATGCAGGCATATAAGTCCTTGACTGTGCCAGCAATTCAGATATCTAAATTATGGATGTAAAATTGTGACTAAATAACTGTGGGATGCAGAAAGAAATGTAGAGACCACTTTTTTAGTCTGCACTGGATTTAGCAATTAAAACCTCATAAACAAGTCCAAAATATAGTATTCCAGGGAGACTGAGTTTTAAACTCAGTTGATTAAAATGTATAATTTTAAATTGTGTCTTAAATTCTGTATCTCCTAACCAGGGAAGGAATGTGTTCTCACATGACTATGTGTTCTGGTGTGGTGATTTTAACTATCGCATCGATCTGACATATGAAGAAGTCTTTTATTTTCTTAAACGACAAGACTGGAAAAGACTCCTGGAATTTGATCAACTACAGCAGCAGAAATCCAATGGAAAAGTAAGGGGATTTATCCCATTTGCTCCAAATTGAAAATAGCTATTTTCCAAAACACCCATATTTTGATCTGAATTAATTGCCTTTAAGAAAGAATGAAAACGAGGGCATTTTCAGACATGCGTTTCTATGGGTACATTCATTAAAAAAAATCAAAGTGTGATTATACTAATAAAAGTGAATATGTGACAATGAAACCTTCATAAGCAGGAATTTAGCTGATTGAAGAAATGATATTTTTTAATAGATTTTTAAAGACTTTCATGAAGGCACTATTAATTTTGGACCAACATATAAATATGACGTTGGCTCAGAGGCTTATGATACAAGTGATAAGTGCAGAACCCCTGCTTGGACTGACCGAGTGCTTTGGTGGAGAAAGAAGCTTCCGTTTGATAAAACAGGTGTGTAGAGTCTTTCTCATTTTTGCATTTCTCATTTTAAATAATGATGCTGGGCAGTCAGATCTCACTGGATCCAAGGGACAGAATTTGGTCTAGTGGTTAGAGAAGAAGACGGGCAGTCTGAGATTCTAGTTTTCTATACCTGGATCTGGCCTTTAGTCTGGGTGAAACTGTGATTACCTTACTCATGGTGGTATTCCCTTTGGTTTCAGTGGGACTGTTTTCATGAATACAGAAATCACATTTGAAACCTGATCAAGTCACTTAGCTACAGCCTACTCCTGCTCCTGTTGTTACTAATTTCAATAAGGATCTGAGCCTTGTGCCTTGGTTTCCTGAGATGTTATTGGTTTCCTCAGTTGTTATCAGGGAATGATAATACTGAATGTTATGAGGTTTTATTAATTCATACTTGTAAAGTGCTTTGACATCCTTGAATGGAAAGTGCTACGGAAGTGCAATGCATTACTTTATCTGTAAGTTAAAAGCTATAAAATACTAAGACAGTTTAAAAAAAACAACTAAACTTTTTGCAGCCAGAGCCATATTTCCGTACCAGCCTCTAAATCTGCATGTCATCCATTAGTATGTGTAAAAACTGCACTTACACATGCAAAGTGAAGAGTTATATGAGAAATTATCTGATTCATGCATACAAAGGTGAATTTACCTCTTAAGATATAAGGGTCATCCCATGGACTGCCTTAGTATAAATATCATGAAGGAAAGCGAGGGTAACCAGAGAGGATGTCAATGTAACATAAATCATCTCATATTTATTTTAAAATCTAATGGTGTAGTAAAAAGAGGATCATGACCAGTAAATAGAGGCATGAGCTTAAGAAGCAATAAAACCGTAGAAGGGATGAGATGCAGGGGATAACAATATGTGAACTTCAGTTTGTGTGAGAAATAAGCTATAATATTGGTAGGGCTGCAGTTCTTCTAAGCCAGTCGGGTCCTACACATAGGTATAGAGGGGTTTGTGTTGCGGTAGATAATCGAAATATCCCAGCTGAATAGCCAAGAAGAAAACAACACTTGGATGAGAGGATAAAAGTGCTGGTATCCCCTCCCCTCACTTCTCACAGTTAGCAGAGGCACCCTCTCTCCATTTCAAGCAGCTCAATAATTGACCCAAATTTTTTTTCCCTTCCACCTTGTAGACCACAGTTAGCCTGAAAATCCTCCCTTAAGAATTTATCTCTCACTCTTCCCGTTTTATTCACATTTCTATAACTTTGTCATTTTTTTATGTTTGTAGCAGGTCTGCCATTGTTCTAAATGCATGCAGAAGTTGAATAACTCTCCTCATATTTCCCAACTGCTTTATGATTGTTGCAGACTATCCAGTAATTCCATTGCATCTTTTCAGCTAAAAAAAATATCCCCAGCTATTTCAATAATTTCCCTTTCTCCCTCAATTCTTCTTTCAAGTGGCCCCAGAGAGGACTTCAGCAGGCTGAGCAGACACTGTAGATAGGATGATCTAGCAAGGTTGCAAGAGCCCACCATATGTCGGAAGAAAGTAGCAAATAAGTGAAACATCTTTCTCCTGTACTTACAGACCTTCCAGAGCTAGCCCAAGTGGTAACACAGCTAGGAGATCCATCTTCTCCCCCTCCCTGTTTTCTGCCTTGGAGGCCCACCCAATCCTTCTGGTTCCATTCACCACCTATAAACTCCACTACCCCTTCTGATTTGGTGGCAAAGCTTCCTCTCTCTCTCTCTCTCTCTCTCTCTCTCTCCTGCTTATCTGCCCAATAGTCCAACTTCCATTTCTGTTCTAGAGAGTGGAGGATAATGGGTGTGTGGGCCAGAGAGCTGTTTGCAGAGGTGGGGAGACATTCTTTCCATATTGCTTACAATTCAATTCCTAGATCAAAGGGAAGAGATAGTATAACTAGTATGAGGCAGCCAAGAGAAGTGACTGTGTCTGACAGTAACTCATCTTGAGCTCTGGAGATGAGAAATAATCCTTCTCCCCAGGCCTACCAATGCTTCCCTCCATTTCTCCATGCTTCCAAGAGCAGCACAGTGCCGCCCCTAGCATAGAGGGGAGTCCAGAGTAGGCACTAGCTGGTAAGGAAGCAGCAATCTATACTACACTCTTATCCCAGATTTGAACACTTCCTGTCACCCAGAAAAAACATGTGGAAAGCAGAGACGCTATAGCCATACAGGATTTCCTCTTTCTGTTCTCTTAACTGCATGTGGTTATTTCAAAATATAGGCTTTTTCAGGCTGGAGGAAAATGCTATTCTTTAATGTGACAGTGTGTGATGCTAAATTATATACGTCTCTGAAAAGTTATTGGTTTGCGTTTTGTCCTGTTCTAATGATCTGTGCTATCGATTGCACTTCTTTTTACATTTTGTTTTCTATCAAGAGATTCAAGGTCTAGAGGGATATAAGCCATCTTTTAGATGGAGTGCTTCAGGAACAATGTGTTTGGGTGAAAACCACAGTTCTGTGAAATGCAGATTGCTAAAATTGTTTTAATTATTGTTACAAGTCTATGAACTTTAATGCTCTTTTGTGCTGTATAGCTGGAGAGATCAATCTCCTAGATAGTGATCTGAGTGCTGACACTAAAGTCAAACACACTTGGACTCCTGGTGCCCTGATGTATTATGGAAGAGCAGAGCTGCAGGCATCTGATCACAGGTAATGTCCTAGTTTAGATGATCTTTCTCTGATTACATTGAGGCTCACTGAAGTACATATTCAATGGAAGGGCCAAGAATGATTGTTAATGGACACTACATGCTTATTCTCTGTTCAGCACTTTGACATTTAAACCCATCATAGTTCTAAACCAAAGGGTGGCAATGCCCAGGGGCCTTGTATTAATTTTCCTCTACACTATGATCTCAGCAAGGGCTGGACAAGCTGCAGAGGCAAGGCCTGGATGATTTGATGCCTCTCCTCATTCATTTCTGACAGCTCAAGCCAATCAAAGGTGCACCAATGACAGGCTACCAACTAGTCTTCTGCTAGAACGAAGGCAGCTGAGATGTGTTGCCATAGCGGTATAAATTGTGAGTGTACAGCTGGGGTGTGTGTGAATGTTAATGAGCTTCCCTGAGATGCAAACACATTAAACTTCCCCATTTTCCGGAGAAATGGAGAAATGGGAAGAGAACAAAACCAAAAATTGAGACAGCCACATTGATTATAGATCTTCTCCCTAAAGAAAAATTATATAGATTAACTTCCGTTGCTCACTGTTATTGTTTCACTTGTTCTGAAATGAATGCTATGAGTGCTTTGATAAATGTATCTCAAAAGCTTGTCTGTTTTCAACATTGCTTCTGTAATGATCCTGGGCTGCTCTATGGAAATGTCGTTGTTTTGTTTCTCACAGCAGTGTTCAGTGAATCACAAAAGTTAACCCTGTGCTTTTCACAGCATTGTTACTCTAGAGGACTGTTTCATCTTTCTCCAGCAATGAAAGAACATGCTTCTCACAAACAAACCACTTCTCTATGTCAAGGCACTAGACCATTCACACTGACACTACTGGCTCCTGCAGCTAACAGTGTCATTGCCACAGTCATTATAAAATGCAACATTTGAAGCCTGGCTTCTTTTACCTTGGCTCCCAATTACAGCAACCACCACTACAATAACCATGTTTTAACAACACTTTTTAGTTACACTCAGTTGGTTGGATTTTCCAGGATGTGCTATAAAAAGAGACTCCAGAGTATCTCTTTTAACATACAGCAATGTACTAATCAACAGTGTTTTCAGAAATAGTTCACATTTCCTATAGAAGGTTGTTTTAATTTCCGTCTTTCCTTCATCTCAACCTTCAGTCTTTTTCATTCTGGTAGTGCGTATTACAGAACCAGCTGTAGTGGACGTAGCAGCTAGCAATGACAGGTAGTTAGATAGTCAAGTGTCCAATGAGTGCCCTCAATGCATTTGCAAGTACAATCTTGAGGGTGCAGATTGCATCTACAGAGGCCGAGCCTCAGCCCTTTTGACAGCTTGCCCCTATTTATGTAGATTTGACACACAGAGCTAACACAGAAGAGACGATTCATAACTATTTAGAATATCATTGATGCGTCTGTACTACACAAAAATGTTGCATACTTAAGGGTACATTGTCCTCTCACTGTTAGTCCTGGGGCTAGGGCAAAAGAACTGGAAGCCAAGACTGCTTTGTCTTGGACATCCTGTGTGACTTTGGGCAAACCACTTAACCTCACTATGCCTCTTGGGAAATAACAACACTTCCCTATTTCATAGAGGTGTTGGGAAACAATTTATTAATATAAGTAAAGCACTCTGAGATCTTGGGATGGAAGGTCCTATGGAAGTGCCAAGTACTATATTAGTGTTATTATTATGTTTGCTAATACAGTATATTATCACCACTATCTTTCAGCTAAATGTAGTTGTGGTAAATCTGAGAGACCCTATATGAGGGAGTAATAAATTAGGAGTCAGGACTCCAGGGTTCTATTGCCCGCTGTGCTGCTTACTCATTATGTGGCCTTGGGCCCACTACTCAACTTCTCTCTCTCGCGGTATGTCTACACTGCCGCTGGGAGCGTGCTTCCCTGCTTGGGTAGGTAGACATGCGCTAGCTCTGTCCAAGCTAATGCATGAAAAATAGCAACATAGCTGGGGTTAGCACAGGTGGCAGCTCGGGCTAGCCACCTGAGTACAAACCAGGGCCGGCTCCAGGCACCAGCTTGCCAAGCAGGTGCTTGGGGCGGCCATTCCGGAGAGGGGCGGCACATCCAGCTATTCAGCGGCAATTCGGCGGACGGTCCCTCACTCCCGCTCGGAGCGAAGGACCTCCCGCCGAATTGCCGCCGCAGATCGCTAT